ACCACGCATCAATATTAGAGAAATGAAATGTTTCTAATGGCAGAGCGCGACGATACACGAGGCCGTGATTGATTCGCAATGTCGGGTACCACCGTATTGTTTCGATACTGTCGTCTAATCAACTGTTTTTTTATTTTTTTTACCACTTCTGGTAAGCAACCAATGCAAACGAACGGTAGAAGGAGTGTGAGCAGCCAGAATAAATAATAGAAGTATATCATTTCAACATAGGCAGCGAAATTGGGTAGTCCAGCAAATATCTCGATAAAACGCACTAGAGCAGAAGGAGATACACAAGCTAGAAAAAGACATGACATACACAAAAGTTGCAAGATCATTTTACGATGTTTTCGCCATTGAACTGGTTGGTGACTACGTGTTCTTTTTCTATACAGGACTCTAATGACAAGACCAGTGCTGAGCAACGCAATGAAACATACAGGAAGGAAATTATGTGCAAATAGATCGTAAAGTGATATGATCGAATCATATGTGTAACACGGTGCATAACAGAGAGGCGCATCGAAATTGATTTTTTCCTTTTTATTGCATGGATAAATTATGATGACCCCAATGTGGTAGAAAATAAGATAGACAATAATTATGAACAAAGGCAAGTAATGTATGAAAAATCGAAGCTTCACTGAGCTGAAAAAATGGGCATGAAAAACCAGCAGATGTCGTTCGAACGAGGCCCATAACATAATCAAATTTACTTGAGCACTGAGAAGATAGCCGCACCATTGCCAGATGAGGCAGTAGACATCATTTCGCGGTGTAACAGTGCCAATATGTAAGTAATGTAGAATGTGTGGTATTACAACTAGATTAGTCAGCAAAGTCACAATGAGTAATGCCAAAATGACATGATTTTGTAATGCAGTGCGAAAAGTTCGATCGGCAATAAGATAGTAAACTAGTAGAAAATTACAAAGAAGAGCTGGTGGTTCGAGTGTAAGTAGAATGCCGAATTTAATTGTTCGTGTGAAAAGAGTATCAGTAATGATTGATGATGCCATTGAACTATGATTAAGAGTATTCATTTCTGTGTGGAAAAAATAATCTAGACTTGTGTCAATTCAATCATATAGAAACTGACAGACTCTCTTATGCCGTCTCCTTCCTTTTTTGTAATTATTTTTCTCTCTTTCTATATTTGCACAATATGAACACGATAGTATATGCATACGGGTGTCGCATTTCACAATGCATAATAACGATCAAGAACTCTCTGCTCGGTAATCAAAGATTACATAATCTTCACCTTGGTCTTTGATTGACTCTTTCTTGTTTGATTCAGGCATTTTCTATTGTATGTTCTTATGGATTATTCTGTTGACATCAAGAAGATTGAAACGCCATTGCATAGAAACATGAACTAAAATAACTAATGTCGGATTTTTAAAAAAGTTGAGCATCATATTTTGTGTAAGTTTGGATACCATAAAGCTATTGAGGTCGAGTTTCAGAGTTTTAAAGAACTCCTCTAGTTATTTTCGCACATGTCTTGTGAGTTGTCTATTTCAACAGCTTTTCATAAGGATTTTAACTCAGATTACGCCAAATTATACACTAAACCTCAATATGTTTGAGGTTTTTCGTATGACTCATTTTAGTAAACGAGAGTTCTCGAAATGATGCGAACACAATAATGCGTGAGCCATAATACTAAAAACAGTGTCAGTTTGTGATTCGAATTTTCCAATTTTTAGTATTTTGACTGTAACATTCTTAATTCTGCAACAATTTGAAATTTTTTTATCAAAATAATCAGCGTAAAAATCTTTATATTACCAATCTGAATCTGTCCACATCGTTCACAGCTAACTGAGTTAACAGTACTCACCATTCGAATATTGAAAATTCAATAGCAATTTAGGCGAAGTTTGAAGAATTCAATGCATTATACAACGAATGGCTCGAAGTATTGAGATACACCCAGTCAGACAAAACCAATAAAAAAAAACGTGTAAAAACGGGCCAAAAAAAACGCGTTCCAATTCCGAAAAACCGCACATTTAAACGCGTTAGCAACGCTATGTAATTTCGAACGCCGTTTTCCATCGTTTAGAATCGAAACGCTTAATTACTCGTTTGATAACCTAACGGCGTTATTTTTTTTAGAAATATTAATACGTTTTAATGGTGTTAGATAGTACTATGCGTTCATAACGCGTTTAAATGTGCGGTTTTTACGAAAATTTTTTCGTTTCATATTTTAAACGCGTTTTTACATGTTTTATTTCTTGAATGAAGCAATTGCTATAAGATAGAGAAACAACTCAATACTTCGTGATCACTTAAGAGTTTGTTAAGACTATATTTTCTAACTATTTAAAGTGTATGCTAATCGTATAAAGGAAGATGTATCAGTTTTACGTATGAATAGCGTCAAAGTAATTAGAAAAATAATTATTTTGCCTCTATTCATACGTAAACTGATACATTTTCCTGTATACGGTTAGAATACACTTTAAATAGTTAGAAAATATAGTCTTAACGAACTCTTAGGTGATCACGAAATATTGAATTGTCTCTCTATCTTATAGACTTGACTTATTTTATTTTAATGGGAATTAATTATATGTGAATAGATAACTGGCATATACACAGGTTTCGTAACATTCTTTCTTTATCATCTAACAATATTCTATTCTAATGTAAGATATGCTTTGCAGTCATCAACTATACTCTTATTCTACTACTGTCTACTTACAAATCTCTGATCGCAATAAAAAAATAATAAATTGATTGTTATGAAGGAGAGTGAAGAAAAAAAGGAAAACCTGATATAGTTGATGATGCTAAGTCGACTGTTCCTATGACTACTTGATCTAACGCAAAGTTGACTAAAGTATCGAACTTATTTCTTTTTCTTTATGCAAGAATCTTTGTCATTTGACTATACTCATCCTGTCTTGACTTAATAAAAAGAAACCTTTTTGTATGAGGATATTTCTGCTTCGTAATCAATGTAATAGATTATCAAGCGGAAATAATATCATAGACCTACTCGAATGATAGAAATATGAGTGACTGCATAAAAGGAAACTATGAAGCAATCAATAAACACAAGAAAGAACGAATTTGAATGGAAAAAATCGACTGAAAAAATAAAGAGAAAAAACAGAAAAAACATGTTAATGTTCTAGATACTTGTCGCGACATAGAAATTTCTTTTTTCTACATTCTTATTATCTGCTCAACTTGGTATAAAGATGCTTAAGAAATTATTCAGAAGAGGATTTTAAAACGCAGTGAAAGTTTCTAGAGAGTATATGAATTGTAGAAGTATATGGTGGACCCTCTGCAGATGTCAGGTAAATAAACGCGTTTAAACGCGTTTTCTTAAATACATCCCCTATTTATTCTTCTGATAATGTCTACTATTTTCGTCTGAAAGAAATATTATTTTAAATGTTTCCAACTAATACTCTAGATAGCATATCGCTAGAAAAATGGCGAGCATCAAATGATTGGTTGTTAGTATTAACTAATACAAAATAAAGTAAGGAGATAGATATTGTGATAGTATAACCAGATATAAAGGTTATAAAGAAATGTCCCTAACTTTAAGATCCAACCTATTTACTAGTTATTGTTTACGTACAGAAACAGGAGTGCATTGTAAAAGAAAAGATTTCTTTAGGATAACGATACATATATAAAGGGACATTCAACAATGATATTAAAGATTACATGTAGGGTGTGGGTGGGTGTTTTTGATGAAAGAAGATTTACCTTCACTCACACCTGTGCCAATATTTAGTACAGCTGTACTAAATATTGGCACAACACCCTGTGGATTTCAAATATTTCCTAATCTCTTAGAATCCACTTAAATATTATTTTCAACATTTTAACTCTCATCTATCTTATATTATGAATAAAACATTGGATTATTCTAATCATATGCTTTGCTTTTTATTATGTTGAAGTAAGATTATTTAAATTTATATTTTTGTCTTATACTCCCGCATATTATAAGAGGTTTTGATAATGACAATACAACAAACTATTAATAAATCTACTTCACAAGCAGATAGCAAATCGAACATAAGTTTGAACAAGCACTATTCCATGAATTAGATTAAATGAAAATCTATGAAGATGCTATGAAATAGAATCTATCATATATGAAGAAAATAAAATCTATAAAAGTATGTTTAAAATATTCTTTTCTGCGTTAAAATTTATACATAAGTTCTCATCTAGTCAGATATTAGTTCAAATATCAATACCTGGTTGCATAGTGTATAAATACGAAACATCCTGTCTTGAAATTTGCCATCTATATTTTAACTTTCATGAGAAAATATACCAACATAAAAAAAGAACTTAATTTTGTCAAGTTAAGTGAACTATAGTGTACAGAAGATGCAAGTAATAACCTACTTTCAAAGGAAAAAATAAGTCAAGTTGTCTTTAGCATAGAACTGTATCAAAATATATTTATACCTGTGAACGCGTTTAAACTCGTAAAAGCAATAGCGAAACCAACAGAAAAACGCGTATATTTTGAAAAACTTACAAGTTTTAACAGGTTGCAGATGAGTTATGTGTTTTAACGCGTTTCAAAATTGCATAATAATGCCGTTTAAACGATACTATTTCGTTTAAACGCTGTTATTATAGAACCCTAACGCGTTTAAACGCGTTACTTTTTAACGTTTGTCTGCCTGGGCACAATTCTATTGAGGAAATTACTAAGATTGGTCATGAATCGTAGCATTCGTCAGGATGTTGCGATACATGTTAACATACACAATCACGATTGAGGGGCTCCTAGAACTAATTTCGACTTGATTTTCTTGAATGTCTTGAATTTCCAATATTTAGACGGTCGATATATTTTCTATTCATTTGTTACGTATAATGTCTGGTGTATTATAAAAATCACTATAGAATGATAAAATGATTAGATATAAAGATTTTTTTGTGTCTCTTTAGCTTCATATTTGAATATTGCTTGTTCATTTTCTAATTCATGTTGCTGTGCATTATGCTGATCTTGCATTGCTTTTTTTTTGACGTCGTACTTCTTGTAAATTATCGTCTTCAGGATTCAAATCTTTTAAATATCGTATCATGATATCTGACTGATCAACTTTTTCTAATGCTTCAATATTTTGTCGAATACATTCTTGATTTTCCAATATCGATTTAATATCTGTTTGACAGAATTCAATCTATTTTTCAAGATCATGTAGTATTCTTCGAATATGTATAATATTAACAGCTTTATCGAAAAGTAATGTGGATATTAAATCATGTTTTGGTGTCCATGTTTGAATTTGCCTATCTGTGATTGGACTATAAAGCATTTGTCGAAGAACTTGTCAAATAAATTTATAGGCAATCATTTTATGAATTAAATTAACCGTTCTATTTTCTATTATTTTTGCTTGAACGAGATCAGGTACTTGTTTTTCTACGAATAATTCAAGTGCAGTTAATACAAATATTTTTTTACTATGTCTTGCTTGTTCATCAACAATAAATTCAATATCTTGTTGGGGTTCAAATTTTAGTTCAAAACGACTACAATCTTTTACTGATTTGATACATCTATTCTGTGTAGTAACAACATAACCACCTAAAGAAGAATCAACTATATGATCAATATAAAATTTTGATATAGACCGATCTAAAAAGGTATTTTTAATTATATGACGGGTACGTTTAATATAAAGTTGTTGAAGACCAATGCCAATTGGAGCAGTATTTGTATTAAGTTTACCAATTTCTGGATAAATAATATCAATACTATCATTATGAACTTGAAGTGGTAATGGAATAGTACAAATAGATATAGTGGAATCAAAGCCATAACTTAAACAAAAAAAATATCACCTACACATAGTTGGTAAGAATCAAAAGTAGTGAACTAAAATCAGAATTTGGTACTCTTTTCGAATACGTCATCGGAATATTTCTCTGGTTTAGAAATTATTAGAAATGATCCCAATGTTAACAGTCCTACCTAATGTTTTCAGAGTATCTTTTTAACTTCAAGTTAGCCTTCACTTCAAGATAATAGGCTAAGATAGATAGCACAGTTTGTAGAGCAAACTGTGCTCTAACAAACTCGTTGATGTAGATATCAAATAGTATTCACGTTTTACATTGAGTGGACTTTGCTCGGTCAAAATACAAAAATTTGTCAAATAAAATTCTTTACAGAACATCATTATCGATTGTGTCAAACATTTGGTTCAATCCTCAGCCAGAAAAATACTCTGATTGTATATGCACAAAGTGCACAACATTCTGATAGTAGTTAACTACTGACAAATGAACAAACATTTTGTGTCAAGTGTTTTGGAGCAGCAGTTAGATTAAATAAAAAAAAATTAATCTTTTCTTGTGACTTTTACTGAATTAATTGATCATCGTTTGGTAACATTGTTGTAAAAACGCATTGAGCAACAAGTCGTCCTCTATCTAATATAGCAATACTTCCAGGAGCCAAGACAACATCCATATTATTTTTCAAATGAACAGCTTTGATTGCGCTTAAATCATTGATTTTCGGATTATAGTAGAGAACAAATTGTGCATCCATTTGCTATCTATTAATTGTTACTGGAGCACTTTCATGTGATCGAATAGTAACAGGTCTATTAATTGTATAAACAACATGCTCATGAAGACCACTCATTTCTCTAGAATCGATCGATTCGTAATTTCCAACATCATCATCTGTTTTGAAATTCGCATTGATAGTCGTTTTTTCATCTTTTGAAAGGATTGAATCATCATGACGAGCAACTGAACTACTTCGTGATCGAATAAGCAAACATAGAACAGACTCTAATATGAAGATATACCTATTTCTTTTAATTCTTTTCAGTATTAATAGTTTACCTTTTTGAATATTACAATCACTCAATGTTCTCTTATCTACTAATTCTTTTCCAGCATGTATGATACGTTGTTGATCTGGAGGAATACCTTCTTTATCTTGAATTTTGGTTTTCAATATTTCAATAGTATCAGATGCATTGACCTAATAATTTCAAAACATAAAACTTAACGATATTTTTAATGATATTCGTACTTGTATTGTAATTGTTTTGCCTTTTAATGTTCTAATAGAAATTAACATGTTGCCAGATAGTTTTTTCTCATAACTTCTTGCTTTTTCACAACTAGTAGCCACTATTGTTGACTTATTATTCTTGAAAACTTCAAGTTCATTAGCAACAAATACAAGGTCTACTTGAGTCCAATCTTCTTCTGTCAGATTATTAATTGAACCAAACAAAGTTAAATCAACCTTGAAATTATCCTTCATCGATATAGATGAATCAATTTCGCATCGATATAAACATCGCCATGCTTTTGTTGCATAGAAATAGAATACTTTGAGTAAAGATGATTGTTCTGACATATTTGTAGCAGTTATGATTAAAGAACTCCGTAATAAATTATCCATTTTGAATAGAAGACGAACAGATTCGTAAGATACTTTATTTGATGGCATATGACTTTCTAAAATTTTTATTAATACTTTTTCTAGTTGTTCTTGTAAATATGAGTCAACAAATTTGATACCATTGATGAAAGCAACTAGAACAAAAACCTTTTTCAGTGCTTTTACGTAAAAAAAAGGATTTTACAATAAACTTACGTGCGAAATGACGAATAAATCCATTTGTAGTCAAAATTTGAAGTAAATATTGTGTTGTTGTTTTTGTTGAATTCGGATTGAGTACTGTTGGTATTTCATCAAGTATAATTAACTTACCAGATTGTTCTTTACTAACATCTTTAATAGACAATACAACTTCAGCTGCAATACATGTGTTAAGAAACTTAGCAAATGAAGTTGCCGAAGCAAAATCTATAAACGTAAAAACATGTTCCATTATTCTTTCGATAACTTGTTTATCGTGTTCTTCCGTATCGAATACTACTGAATCAACTGTTGTACATAATGTATCAATCACTAATTGTTTATGCTTTTTAGTAACATGCAGAACTATTGGTACCTGGGTATCGACAATTATTCGTTCAAAATAACCCAAATTATTCTTATACAATGTAATACGACGTAAAGGAATTGTCGTAATTGACATTATTAAGCAAACGAAAATGACGAAGAAGAGAACGGAGGAAAAAATCGTAATGAATAAGATTTTTGTTTTTTTTTGAACGAGTATTTATACGTTTCTCTCATGCATATTACCTGAAGAATGTTGAGGTATGGTACAATACAACAAAACAAATAAAAAATAAAAACAAGCGATGATTCGTTTTTCATATGAATAATACCTAGCATGAGCCGTACAACTATCTTACAAGACAATATTGTAATACTATATTTATATTTTGCCATTACAGAAGCAAACACGTCATTTGAATAAATGAAATTATTGAATGACTCATTAATGGCACTTTTCTTGTTCGAAGTTGACACATTTTGACAAGTACAGATTAAAAAAAATAACGAAATCTGATAATGCTGATATACAATTGTTAGTTATTCTAACTACAGTAAAGCATCTAGTCGTGAACATCCTCTTCTATCGGATATTCTCCGTAATCTCGCCTATATGTATTGGCATTGTCGATGTTAACATCGGTGAAAGGTACTAATTGATTGAATTACATGGTTGGAGCTGTGAAGAAGAGTATTTATCAAGAAATGAATTGGTTCTATGATTCAATTCAACCAGAGAAAAAAAGAAAAAGAATGAACAAACATAGATGGTGCTTCGTATTGCTCTTACTTTACAGCAAAAATAATGAATTTAATCAACGATGACGAACTTGCTTTATGTCGTCGTGAATGACAAGATGAATTTCAAGTGTCCATTGGCACTTTATGAAATATTCTTAAAAGAAAATGATCAATTGATTAGTAATTTGAAACTAATCTAAACTAAAAGATGAAGCACAAGATGAATCATGATTTTAGTTAAACTATCAATGATAATGTTTAACACTGATTACATAGCATGTAAACAGCAGTCAAAAGGAGATAAAAGTTGATAGAATTGATATTTTTTATTTATGTTTGCTTGATTCCCCATTCTCCATGAACACCTTGGTATATTGAACGATTTTCGCTGGTTCGGATGGTGTGCACAATATAGAGATTTGACGGTATTCACAAACACACTGAGTTTTAAATTGTATTTTTATTTCTTCAATAATAAAACATTATTAAAAGATTCTTTTCTAGTAAATCATACTCATTAATGAAAATTATTTATTAAATTATTATATATTCAATAAAATTTAAGAAATAGGTACAATTTTTCCAAGTCCTGTTGAAATAACTTTACTTGGTTTTTTTCCAGACGGTAATCGATAATAAACACTTGAAACACCAGTTGCTTCAATTTGAACATCATCTGTAGCTGCTACTCGTACTATACTTACTCCCATTGCTCGTACTTTTACTTGTTTAGTTGAGAAATTTAATGCATTAATATCACCGACTCCTTTAGCATCGAATATTGCCTGTTGTCGAGCTTGGCCCCAGAAACGACTATTGCCTGTACCAGTAAAATAAACTTGAAAATTATTAACATTTAATCGCATAGCAACATTAGCTACACCTCGATGATCTAATACAAACGTATCATTGTGATCATTTGATATTCCATTATCATCTGTTATTGTATTACCAGTACCTTTAATAGTATAACGACGTAATGGTGAATTAAATCGAATATAAGCATAGATATTTTTATCAATCATTAATTGACCTTTAATATGAATTGAAAGAATATGATTATTAACAATTTCAACAATAACACGATTTTGAATATCGACAGTTGTTTCAATTTCAACTGTAGGAGTAGAAATTCCATTTGATGTTTGACTTAAAAATATATCAAAAGCACCATCAATCATAATTTCATCAAATGATGATGATGATGATAGAGGACGAGTTTGACGAATAACAGTGTCATTTATTTGTCCTTGAACCAAAGAAAAATAAACAACGATAATAACTATACAAGATAGCATCTAAAACGATACATATAATTCTTCAAAATCTATCGAATGAAAAGAAAATTACTAAAAACTCATTTATCGTCACTTTTATTATTTAATTTTTCTATCTAATAAATTAATGTAACATACTTTGTGACGAAGAAAAGAAATACGAATAGATTTAAGAAATTTCTCTCAAAATATCATAGACTATTCGTAACAACTATTGTATTCAGAAATAAATTAGTATAGCTTATATGTTGTGACGAAATTCTCGTTCATATGCACAATTGTTATGCATTCATCACTCATCTCAACTCTAACGTAGTGTTCTTATTTTGTATATGTCGTAAGTACTTAAATGAAACAATACAAGAAAGATTGTATAATGTTCTTTTATATGTATGTGTATTATTGTATGTAGGTGTTTGTTGAAACAAAAAGGACTAGTTTTACCTTTAATTTAAGTCAATAGATAAGAGCTTAATCCTCTTTATCAAACTGTCTTTAACTTTCAGAGAAAAAAAAATCAATGATAGAAGCAATGGTCAGCAAGATAAAGCTTTTTTAAGTGTTCAATTTAAGTGTCGAAAAAAAAGAAGAAAATTATTAAATTGTCTTTTGTTTAAGATTATCTATCATACTGCTGTTGATATGCATTATATGACTGATCGATCAATCACATAAAACATTTTGTAGTTTTTTTTCTTAATCGATTATGGAAGAGTCATATGTTTTCAAATGTCGTACACTTTCTTTTGTTTCTTGATCTGAATATCTGTTCGACTCTGACCTTTTTCTTCCTATTTACTTGTGCATATAAGTACACACTATTATTTATTATTATGAACTAAAATAATGTCAATGACGTCAATAATCCATACTCTTCAGTTTGTCTTCTTATGTCATGAAAATGTTCTATCGATGAATAATAGTTTTTAATTTATTTGAAATGATTTTGATCGACTTGAAATAATATAGAATGATCAAAATGGATTCTCTGTGAAATTATATTATATTATCTTTTCTTTAACTATGGTATTTATATTATGTCTACGCAGCTAATATTCCATGTCATTAGAAAGAAAAATGGTAATGTACATACAAAAGCATTACCATTGACACAATATGTTTTCACATTCTTAAAATTTTTTTAAGAAAACAGTTCTTATTTTGATTATAACTTATCATTGTAACAGAGTTTGATGTTAAATAATAGATAAAAAATAAAGCATTTTTATAATGAATGATGAATCGAAAATAAATTGTACAATATGGATGTAATTTGTTATAATTGAGAAAAAGTTAAGATACAAAAAAAGCACAGTAATCATCATGATCAATCAATGAATGTCATTACTTCAGTTCTCATCTGCTCATGAGACATATATGTCATCTGACAAGTGAAAAACATTCATATTCAGGCATAATTGAAACTATTTTGAAATATACTGTTGATCCATGTTGCTGAAATATTAGTTTGAGAACTCAGTCTAACCATTGCAAGTCGATTTCTGCCGTTTTTGAATCTATGACATAATGTATAATGAACGATATACATACTTCAGTTGAACCAAAGTCGCCAGAGGATGTTTACCATCAAAGTTATGCTGGCTAGTTTTTTGTGAAAGAATAAAAAGAAGAGGAAAAGATATGAAAAAAGCAGTCATAAGTTGTTATAAGAATAGTTTTTTTTCATTTTGTTCTCTGTTATCTTATACAGAAGTCTGACAAAAGTGTAATACCATTAGGACTTGAATCCACGTTACCAGTGTCCAGTAATTGAGACTGGCGCCTTAAATTTCATCTGAATAGTTCATAATTATTATATAATTAACGTACAATTTATGAGTGAGATTTAGAAGTTAATATTGAAATATTTGATTAAATAACTCGATCATACTGTCACAGTAACCCAAATAGTTTGAATCGATTGACAAAGGGGATGCAACAAAAGAAATGATTTTATGGCAAATCTAACTGTGCTAAAAGACTTCTTTTTTTAGTCTTATAACTAATTGTGACATCCAGATTGACTACAATTCAACAAATGCCATCTTCTCGTTACTCATCCTTTAAAAAACGTTGAAATTATTTCTCTTCTTTTGTCGATTTGTACACTTCATGATCTGCTTGTTTTTTTTCTTCTGATTTTGGACTTGCATCGACAATTCTTGTGCCTCGAAAAAATGTTTCAGTGTTGTTTATGATCTTGGACTGGCAAACCATTGGTTAGTGCACAAATGATAGGTACATTACTAAGATCGACAATTTAAGGATAACGGAACATAAATATACTAGTACAATCATAGACTATTTATATAACAATACTACAGACAAGGATAGAAGGTACAGATGATACATATCAAAACAAAAGACATTATATCATCAAGCTAGATAGTAAATGAAAAATCCAAACGTAAACGATATGCTTTTATCGAACATAAATAGAGTTCGATGTTAAACATTGCATAAACTTCCTTCTGATCAATAAGATTCTAATAGCATTAGTGGGAACAACAAATATAGATTTATTAAACGAAATAAACACTAAATGAAGTGTAAAAGAATCGAATTTTCGTTTCATTTCACAATGAGTTAACATGCAATCGATAATTATAAACTTTCTCATCATTGGGCAGATTTCAAAATGTCATTGAGCGTTCTTTTGTTTCGACAAAGTTTTTCATCGGCACACGTTTCGATGAGGCGAAGATAGAGGTCGAAAAATTGTTTAGCTCGTTTGTCACTATCCATTTCATGAGCTAAGCACATGTCCAACTGACCATCGCCGGTACATGTGACAAATATTACTGTTGATTACATGTTAACCATGCAAGCGAATTTCTCCTTGATTATATTCGCACGAGGGTTGTTTTTTTCTAAGGTTTGACAAGCCCAATTCCGAATGGTGGCCATCAGGCCAATATCGAGCGAATTGGGCAAAACTCCGTTCATTTCTGACTACATCGGCTAATGTATTCATGACCAATGAAATACCATTGCACTTCAATTGATATTTATCATACATTGTTCTGCTAAAGACCCAAATTGAGCAGATCGCATCGAAAGTGACTGCTGAAGTTTCATTTGGCTACTGCCAATAAAGAGCCCAACAGATGTTATTGTC